GGAGGGAAGTTAACTAGAGGGGAGCGGGAGGGGGGTCAACTCGAGGGGAGGCGGTTAACTAGAGGGAAGGTTTGAAGTTCAGGAGAGGGGTGATGTTTAAGTTTCGGGCGGGGAGAGTGGGGTTGTTCGGTTTCTGGGTTTGGAGTTGGCCGGTTAGGTGGTGGGAAGAGGTTGCAAGGCGAAGAAAAAGAAACGTAAAAAAGCTGCCGTTCGCGAACTCAGCTTGGATATATCCCGGCTGGTAACTGGCGTCGTCTAGGCCTGATGCTTTGGATGTTGTTGCAAGGCTGTGTAAATGGAAACACATGAAGAACCATTAGTTAGCATATCACGGCATTGTGCCCACCCGCGACATGTCCATGTTCGTGCATCAGCCTCGCAGAATACCGGGGATAAGAGTTTAAATACGGCGCCCGAGAAGCGAAAGTGTCGGCGAAGCTCCCATATCTAATCGATGGCCTCGTCGGCAACAAATAACCACCGATGCGGCGGCACAGGTGGTGGTCCCTCACGCGGACACGCGGGCATCACCGGACAGGGGTTTCCGGTTGCTAAAAGCGAGAGCGAGAATTCCGCATTTTGTGATAGGAAATTACCATGATTGGCCGGTGCCCCCGACTCCTTCCAGAACCAGCTCCGGCAGACGAGATTTGGGGACCACTTGGGGACCAACCCGCTCCGTTGTGGGGGCCGGCAAGCTGCACTGATTGGGCTTGAGAAATGGGTTGGGTGAAAATTCCATGCAAAAGGGGTCAGCCCCGCCGTAAATCCGGGGCTCCTTCAGCGGAAGCTCTTGGGCCCGGTGCGGGTTATGCAACATTTGTGCAAATTGTGCAACTTTTGCAGCCAACGCCCAATTTCACGCCGATGGCCGACTCTCGACACAATCCCCCGGACCAGACCATGTTCAGGTCTCGCCAGCATTTCTATCTTGCGGTCACAGCAACAAGCACTTGGTTTGACATCTCAAACCACGTGTGATGTGCTCCCGGGTTGTGACCTCCGGGCTTGGCCTCCGGGAGGCGCCGTTCATCAACGCCCTGCTTTGCTCAAGCTTTTCATCCGATGCAGGGGTGGGTGGGTGCTGATCTGGAAGATGGAAGCTTCCTCGGTTTCGCTCAGTGCCAGGAATACGGAGGTTACAGGCAAAAGTTTTCAAAGTGGGTCAGGTACTGGCAAGGGTTATGGGCAGGGGCCAAGCAAGCCCCCGAAGTACCTCCTGTTGCCAAAGCGCGTCGCGCGCAGCAGTCAATTCAAACATCACCAGCTTCGCGATGTCTTCAGAGCTCCCCTCTACGCCGCCGAGCCATCATTCTAAGAGCGCCGATCTCTCTCGCGATGAGCGGCTTCAAGTTCAGACTCTCCGCAAATGTGGTTTTACATACGAGCAAATCGTCGCGCAACTCGGCTTTACCTACAACCAGGTCGGACATGCCTGCCGCGCCCCAAACATCACGCCAAAGAAACGCTCTGGTCGGCCCAGCCTTCTCAATCCAGAACAGATTGAAGATTTGATTGCGTTCATCACTTCCTCGAAAGCTACTCGCCGAATGCCCTACTCCAAAATCCCTGCTGCTCTAGGCTGGGACTGTTCAGGGTATGCGATCCGCTACGCCCTCCGTCAAGCCGGCTTTCAACGTTACGTGGCATATCGAAAGCCCCCAATTATCGAGAAGAACCGAAAACGCCGGCTAGACAACGCCCTCGAGCGCGTATACTGGCCCCTCGAGCGATACCATCAAATCCTCTGGACTGATGAGACCTGGATTACTGCTGGTACCCACCGGAAGGTCTGGGTTACACGCCGTCAAGACGAGGCATATGATCCTACCTGCATTGTCGAGCGCGAACAACGGCCAAAAGGATGGATGTTCTGGGGTTCGTACTCAGTAAAATATGGGAAAGGGCCCTGTCTTTTCTGGGAGAAGGATTGGGGATCGATAACTGGGGAGAAGTATTCGGAAAGAGTCGTTCCTCTTATAGATGGGTGGTTCCGTCTTCACCCAGATCAGGTCCTCATGCATGACAATGCCTCTCCTCATACTGCCCAGGTCACGCGCGAAGAGCTTGAGGCTCGCGGGATTCCGGTGTACAGCCATCCCCCGTATAGCCCTGATCTGAATCCCATCGAGAACGCATGGAACTGGATGAAAGATTACATCGCAGAGAACTACCCAGCAAAGATGTCATACGATCAACTACGTCAAGCGGTATACGCTGCGTGGGAAGCAATCCCCGAGGAATTCCTTAGGGAGCGTGTAGATACAATGCCTATACGGCAGCAGGCAGTTATTGATGCCAACGGAATGCATAGTCCTTTCTGAATTGACTGCTGCGCGCGACGCGCTTTGGCAACAGGAGGTACTTCGGGGGCTTGCTTGGCCCCTGCCCATAACCCTTGCCAGTACCTGACCCACTTTGAAAACTTTTGCCTGTAACCTCCGTAGGGCCCACCCAAGCAATGGATGCTTGGACCCCGGGAAATCGGGGGGTTCGCTGTCCGGTTGACAAGCACCTTCCGTCCGGGCTGCCACACTCAGGACTCAAATACAAATAGAAAAACCAATGCATCTGTCCTGGTTGAATCAACATCTGACCTCTCCAAGAACCGTTCCCGGATGACTGGTAACTATCCAACCCGACGACATCAGTCCTATCACCAATTCACCATGGCCGATCCCTCATCAAGACGGACGGCTTTAACCGACGAGGCAAAGCCCTCCGACGTCGACGTCGAGAAAGGCATCCAAGAGCTGAACTCGGACCTTGAAGCAACCACCATCACGCTTGACACCGACTCGGAACCTACGAGCCGAGATGGCACTGCTGGCGAGAAGGGGAACGCCGAGAGTAAAGATCCCAATATCGTCAGCTGGGATGGCCCCGACGACCCCACGAACCCGATGAACTGGACCATGCGCAAGAAATGGAGCAACGTTGCTGTGCTCTCCATCCTCACCATCATCACGTGAGCCTCGAGCTATATTTCCACTCTTTCACGCGAAAAACTAACGCCTTCAAGACCCCTCGGCTCATCCATGTTTGCCCCCGGCATCCCCCGGATTTTGGAGGAGTTCCACGAGACATCGTCCGTCACGGCCACCTTCCTACTGTCCATCTATATCCTCGGCTTCGCCTTTGGCCCCCTCCTCGTCGCCCCGATGAGTGAAATCCACGGCCGCTCCTTGCTGTACAACCTCGGCAACCTTTTGTTCACCATCTTCACCATCTGTACCGCTCTCAGCAACAGCATCGGCATGCTGATGGCTTTTCGATTTCTGATGGGCGTCGCCGGTTCCGTACCCATTACTATCGGCAGCGGTAGCATTGCCGACATGATGCCCGTCGAGATGCGCGGAAGGGCCATGGCCGCCTGGGCCCTAGGTCCCCTGCTTGGCCCCTGCATTGGCCCCGTTGCTGGCGGCTATCTGATCCGCGCAGCAGGGTGGCGATGGGTATACTGGCTCATCGCCATTATCGCAGGCATCATCACGGTTTTTACCTACTTTATGCTGAAGGAGTCCTACGCCCCGGTTATCCTGGAGAAGAAGGCGAGGCGTTTGAGAAAGGAGACGGGCAACCAAGAGCTGCGGAGCGCGCTTGCCGGCAATGCCACAACCCCGACCGAGAAGCTGAAGGCAGCCATTGTCCGGCCCTTGAAGCTGCTATTCCGGGCCCCGATCGTCACCGCCATGGCTCTCTATATCGCCGTCACCTGTAAGTTTGGTTAAGTCTGCTTAGACGGTCATGTCCGATATTCGAGCTAACAAGTTCATAGACGGCATCTTGTACCTTCTCTTTTCCACCTTCAGCATCGTGTTCCCTGTACACTACGGATTCGGCGAGGGCGAGAGCGGCCTCGTCTTCATCCCTTCCGGCATCGGCATGATGTTGGGCATTGGCATTTTTGGCACTCTCTCCGACAGGCTGGTCAAGAGCAAGCTCGACAAAGGCGAGCGCCATCGCCCCGAGACCAGACTCACGCCTTTCTTCACCCTTCCCGCTGGCCTCGCCATCCCTAGCGGCCTGTTCATATACGGCTGGACGATCCAGTACCACGTGCACTGGATCGTGCCTATGATCGGCGTTGTTCTCTTTGCATTTGGTCTCATGGGTGTGATGGTATGTTGTTGTTCCCGATCCCTTATCCCAAATCGCACCGCTGACGTCTCTCGCAGATGTGCATCCAGAACTACCTGTTGGACGTCTACCCCCGCGCTGCAGCCTCCGTCACGGCCGCCCTGGCTGTCCTCAGGTCTCTGGCTGGTGCGCTCCTCCCGCTCTGCGCCATCGACATGTATGCATACGCTTGACATGGGCTGGGGCAATTCGCTTCTGGGCTTCCTTTCGCTTGCCCTGGTGCCCATCCCTCTGCTCTTTTATGTGTTCGGAGCGCGCCTTGGCAAGAAGTTTGAGCTGAAGTGTATGGTCTCTATTTGGGTGGTCATACTTTTGCATATTAGCGGGCGGAGTTGGTGGGTTGGTAAATCTAGAGATTTGTCATAAAATTCCCTTTGTGTATCATTGTGATAGTATCCCCATTACCATCGATTTTCCTCAGACTCTTAAATATTACTGCCCCTTCCAGTCACCATTCGTTGCCCCTTCTAAGAAAAATAATATCTTATATCTGAAAAAGTAGCAATTTTTTGTAGTTTAGTTTAAAATGCGGTAGGTTTTTTTTTGTATTATATTTTTGATTTTATCTCTATATGCTTCTTCTTCTGTCTTTTTTTTTTTT